GGCACACACTAAGCGCTCCCCATTCAGCAGCGGAAACTTGGTTTGGAGAGGGAAGTGGTGATGGATTCCTCTTTGATGGAGGTTGACCTAATCATTCGGTCCTGGGGAACTAGAGACATCTTAGAAAGTGTCCCCAAGGGTTCAAAGGGTTGGAAAAACCATTTAAAAAGTGCCTGGGAGAAAAGCTACTAGGAGCCCAGCATCATGCTGGCAGGACTGAGGAGGTTGGAGCTGGCTTCCCTCCAGGTGGGAAAGAGTGGCTACGGGACACCAAGGGCTGAGTTTCTGCGTCCGTGGAAGCCTGAACCGGAAAACCTGGGATTAACCGGAGGCGGGAGAGATTAGCACTGGGACAAACTCCAGATGCCAGGGACACCCATGGGGGCTGCCGGGGACGGTGGGCGAAGATGAGCTGTGGCTTGTCCTTTCAAGATCCTTGGGGTCTTGATACCCCACCTGTAAAGCCCTTCCCCGTGGGCCACGGTGGTACTTTCTCTCTGTCCACCCTCTACACTGAGCATCAGGAAGGCAATGTCCTGCATAGGACCTCAAGGGGACAGAGTTCTTCTGTGGGACAAAACAAAACCAACATGACAGAAGGCTAGAATGGACCACCGCTGGACCCTGGAGGGTGAGGTGGGGGGGGTCATGGGATTTGGACGCTGCCTGACATTGATTTTAGCACTTGAGTGTGGGAGGGACCTCCCTCCGCATTCCCTCCAAGGGGGCAAAGTCTGCAGGCCACCTGCTCTGATTCCTGCCGGAGACTTGGCTACCCAGTTGTTTTACTTTTATTATTTTTGGATCCGAGTGGAAGGTATTATTTATTTGCCAAAAATCATTTCGGTAGGTTCAATAATCCGGAGGCCAATTTTAGAAAGCGGAAAGCCCCAGGATTCCTAGAGAAAAATCCACAGGGGGCCTCCGTCCACTCGGATCCCTTTTAACTGACCTCGCCACGAATTTTTTATCCTAAGGTAAAGCCGCAAGCCCCATTTGGAGGAAAAAGAAAATAATGACCACCGTATTCTCCTTTGACAGAACGCCCACGCTGTGAAACGTTAGGCTCCACCCCTTCGTCCCTTTCAGGTCGGTAGCAATTTGATTCGGGGAAACTTAGGACAAGCGACTCATCCGTATCAGCCAAGTGGGAAGACGGTATGTCCAGCAGGATCCGCAGGATGGGATCCCTGGGAAGGGCTGGATGACTGAGGCCAGGGCAATGCTGGGCTGGGGTAGGTGGGCTTGGGGAGGGGTCTGCCCAAGCCATTGGTGGTATGGTAAGGACTCCACCGACTGGCCTCAGAATCCAGATGCATCATCGAATCCACGACTTGCCATTTCATGGGGAGATTGTCCCCTCCACCACCACAGCCCCCTCCTCATTCCCCAACCCTTCTTTGGGGAGCCTCAGAGTGTTTTAAGGGACGTCAGTGTAGACCCTCAATTACAGACACACGAGGATTCAACGTGGGCCCGGGGGACGTTTCTTGGCACCAAGGGTCTTTCACGAAGGCAGTGGACGCAGGTCTCAGATGGACAGGCTTGCACGGGCAAGAGGACAGACGGAGACCCGGGCCCGTCCGGCGCACGTCACACACACGACCAAAACGGGGATCGTGAGAAAGGAGGGGGGACTCCAGAGGGACCAGCTCAGAAGGCTTCTGTCCAGAACCTGCAGCCTTCCCAGGGGACAGCAGAAGACAGACCCGAGAGGAGCAGTGGCCACGATCCGGTGGTTTCATGCACCCGCGGTCTGCCCTCGTCCTCATCGGCAGGACAGCAGTGAGGCGTGGTTTCGGGAGAGCCACCGCAGGGTACGAAGGCGTCACGTCGCGGCAGGAAAAACTCAAGGAGCAGACCCGGGGGAGTCGAGGAAGCCACTGGGGGGGGGGCAGGAACCCAGAGGAGGACACCAGGACACAGCAACAGGACGAGAGGCAGAGCGGGGACCCGGGGGTCCTGGAGGAAAGGAGCAGCCGTGTGTGCGCCCGTCGGAAGCCCGCAGCCGCCCCTGTGCAGCACTTGGGGTGGCCGCCTGCTGCCCCTCTAGGCTGGAGAATCCACTTAGGAGCTGAAGACCCTGTGGGAGCAGAGGAGGGCGGGCATTAGTGTCACCCGAGCTGGGGGAAGCCACCCAGGGACTTCTGACAATCAAGGAAGGTGTGATCTTTTACAATCATTCATTTATTTATTTTTTGCTGTACTGAGGGTCGAACCCAGGGCCTCACACATGCCAGGCAAGCGCTCTACCACTAAGCGACGTCCCCACCTCTTTAAAAATTTTTTTTAAAAAATTTATTTTACTTTGGTACTGGGGATGGAACCCAGAAGGATTTTGTTTTTTTTTTTTTTTTTTGAACCAGGGATTGAACTCAGAGGCACTCGACCACTGAGCCACATCCCCAGCCCTTTTAAAATTTTTTTTATTTAGAGACAGGGTCTCACTGAGTTGCTGAGCGCCTTGCTAAGTGGCGGAGGCTGGCTTTGAATTCGAGATCCTCCTGCCTCAGCCTCCTGAGCCCCTGGGATGACAGGCGTGTGTGCCATGGCACCCAGCTAGCTGTGAGGAGGGCGTGATCTTAAAGGCCGTCATGTGAGCCGAGTGGGCACAAAGTATGTCTGGAGACAGGTTGCCTCGCTTCAAAGAGCAAACAGTAAAATTGCCGAGTGTAAGAACCGAGTGTGAGTGTGCCCTTGTGCTCTGGGACGGCTGGATTCCTGCCTGTGTCAGGGCACGTGGCCGGGGTGCGGGGAGGGCATGGGGCAGAGAGATTGCCACGAGGCTGCCGTGTCCCGGAGTTAAGGTGAGGTTACAGGGTGAGACATCACCCCCTTCTGTGTTTCCAGCCATTTCTAGGGGGTGAGTCAACCTGCCAACATTCTAGCAGTTGAAATTGCACTGAGGAGAAAGCCACCGTCAACCTGGTGCAGAGTGAGAGTACCCCAGACAGATGCCGCTAAGGCATCAGACCTCCCTGGACTGACCGCGGTGGTGCCCCAGGTCCCTAACTGCACACAGAGCAGGTCTGGGGCAGCGCGGGAATTGCATTTCTAACAGGTCCCCAGAGGGTGGCAGTGTGCTGCTGGCCCAGGGACCCCATGGTGGGCAAATCAGCCATCCCTGTCCACGGGACAGAAGAGAAGACACAGCCTACCCCTCCGGGGCGGGGCCGACGTACTCATCTGTCTCTTTTTTGCTCTCTTCAATGAAGGCAATGGACTCAGATCTAAGGCGGTTGGTCACTTCGTAGGTTCTCAGGGTGACTCCAAAGATATCCTCATGGTACCGGTTGTCATCCTAGGGGACAGAAACCACCAGGGAACGGCCCTCAGATGCCAGACAAAGGCTTGCCAAGGGCATAGATAGGATGGATACCTCCGAGTGGAATGTACCCAAAGGAGACGGACGGTTCCTAGAGACACCAGGCTGAGCCGCGTGTCCCCAGGGAACCTCTGATCTCCAAGGCTCTGTGTCAGCGAGACTCTACCTCGAGGGCAGGGGGCCACTCTAGTCCAGTGGAACGCTGGTGTTGCCATGCGGAAATGGGGCCACAGCTGGGCAGACGTGGAACCCAGAGTGACCAAGCCAAGCGGGAAGCTCACCGTCCTCCCCTCTCCTCCCTCTAACCTGTTCCTGCAAATTCAGACCTGGGCAAGGCAGGGGTCCATGGGAAATGTCCCAGGGCGGGGAGATCAGTGGGTCGAGAGGAGTAAAAGTGGCTGGGAAGCCACCAGGGTACACCCCCACAGCTGCCCAGAGTGGGGACCCCTGGGGAGGCAAGGATTTTGGAAGCCATGGGAGTGCCTCTGGCAGGGTGGGCAGTCAGGGGCGGGAGGCAAAACCATCTGGATGCTGAGGGGGGGCAGTGGCCGGGGGCGTGTGCAGCCCGCCAGGCCCCTGTGCTGGTCCAGTCTCCCTGGACCCACCTGTAGAGCGGGTCTGTGTTTAGTTGGGAAGGGTTTTCAACTGTATCCTACGGAGTCCCGGGGAACCCAGGACAGCGTGCGGGAGGATCAGGGCAGAGAGACGAGGATAGGGCAGCTCCGCAGCTCTGCTCAGACACACGCCATCCAAAACTCTTTTTTTAAAATCTCCCTGGGGTTTAGCATCAGATTTAGAGCAAGGGCTTCTTCCATAAACCTGTCGATCACAGCTCATTTAGGAAAGCAAGGGAAAGGAGGGGATCACACCTAACGATCTGCAGGGGTCTGGGACTGTGTTGGATTTGGGGAGGTTGGTTACATGGTTAGGACTTTGCTGATTGAGCCATCACCAGTCTCTGCCCGAACTTTGGGTGTGTCAGGAAATGATCCTTCCTTCAGGGTACACGCAGCTCCATGCCAAGGTGCATGGTTTAGACAGCTAAGCCTGGGGTGGCTTTCAGACCTCTGTCTCTCCCTTGGACAGATCTTTTTGTTCAGTGCTCTACCTGTACAACTGCAGAGAGGGCAGTTTTGCAGCTTGGTTCTGGGGGCAGAGAAAATTGGGTTGAGTTCATTTCTATATAACTAACTAGAGGTCCACACTCGCTATTTCCACACCTGACAGTTCTCAACCATATTTACTACATGCACCTGCATGCCCAGCCATCCTACCTCCTTTCTCGATCAGGGTTTGGGACTCCTTATAACCTCTACTCTCAATCTTATGTGCAAAAGTGACATGTCATCACAGCTCCCCAAATTATCGACAGGTGGGGCGGGAAGAAGAGACGGGAAGGATGCGAGACCAGGGACCCAGATGCCAGTCTGCCGCTCACTCACCCTCAGCCTGCTGATGAATACTCCGGCATCCTCCTCCGAGAGCTTCCCCTGCTGGGCCATGATGCGCTGGACGGCTTTGAGGACATCGGCGGCCATGGTGACATCTCCACACACGTAAATGTGGCCCCCTTGCTCCTTCAGGGCTCGGTACACAGTCTCGGCCAGCTGATCTTGCAGGACATCCTGCACGTACTTCTGCAGGGAGGGGAGGGTCTGTGAGGAGGGCGGGGCTCTGGGAGGGGCAGGGCGTGGCTCAGGGGCTTGCAGGTGTTCCCAGGGGAAAGGGGCCAGGAGCTGGGAAGAGCGAAATGGGTATGGTGAAAGGTGTGAAGGAGCGACTGCCCACGTTGGGCAACCGGAACTCAAGTCTGCTGAGGACCCTCCAGGGAGCCAGAGAGAGAGTCCCAGAGTCATCCCCAGGAAGGGAGGCATTATCCACCTGCTCCTCTCCCGTGGCCGCTGCTCACACACGGGTGTTAACATCTGTACCCACCGCGGTGCGGCAGGCACCCCAGGCCGCGGTGCCAGAGAATCCTCAGGACAGACGGCAGGGCTGAGGCAAGATGGGGGTGGCCGGCCTGCACCTCTGCAGAACTGGCTAAAGCATCAAGGGCTGGACTCAGAGGTGGGCTGGGAGCGGGAGGGGGCACAGGGGCGTCTCACATGGCCTTTGCGTTTGTCTTTGACTTGTCCTGGAAACTCCGCGCCAGGTGAGACTCACTTCAGTTGGAACCTCCCAAGTGCCATTAAGATTGACAGACTTCCCCAGGAACTGCTCTGCATGCCCGCCAGCCACAGAGGCCCCCGCCCCTTCCCTGGGACTCTGGGGACATCTCTAAGACCCAGCAGAAGCCTGGGCCAGTCCATTCCGATTGGTACTATGACCTCTGACGGGCGGTGAACTTATACTTTTGAAATAGTTTATTTGTTTATTTATTTAAAACTGACTTTAAAAAAATGGTGGTAAAATATACAGAATATACAATCTACCATGCTCAAGTGCGTGATCGCGATTCCATGGCATTTAATGACATTCACCGTGTCGTGCGGCCATCTCCACTATCCAGTTGCAGAGTTTTGTGTCACTCCAATGGAAACCAGGCCCCGGCTCCCTGTGACCCCTCTTCCCTGGTCCTGCATATTCTCAAATCTGCTTTTGGTCTGTGCATCTCCTGCTTTGAGCATTTCATGTCTGTAAAGTCCTATAATATGGGCTGCTAAATATTTTAAAATAGATGCCCTCTCCCGGGGTTTCTCAAGTGCGGAGTCAATCCACATCGGGGGATTCAGACAGGGCAAGGGGGTCTCTAAGACAGGATTTGCCAGGGTGTGTTCTCGTAGGAGTGCGTTAGTGGGCGGGGCCGGGCTTACCTTTGGTTTGTCTGGCTCCCGGGAGTAGGCCGTGTACAGCTCTCGGAAGACCCCTTTGTTCTTGGCCTGTAGGGTCTCCTCCCTGTAGATGTGGTCTATCTTGGATTGCCGGCACCCGAAGACCAGGACCATGGGGCAGGGACTCATTCCTGGGGACCGGGAAGATCTCATGTCACTGACGGCTCTGACACCTGATGAGGGGGTAGCTGAGCAGGCAGAAGCTCACAGACAACAGGGCAGGCGGCCAGGTGTGTTCGGATCTCCCTTTCCTGGCTCCTAGACGACTTAGCAGCCTCTACCATCAGGCAGCGCTAAGAGCCCAGACTTGAGCTCCAACACCTGGTCCAAATCCCTGCTCTGTGTGACAAAGCACAACCAACTGCACCTCTAAGCCTCAGTTTTTTCCCTGTACACAATGAAACCAGCAGTCCCTCCGTATTGACAGGAGAAGGACCCCAGGACCCTGTTCAGATCCCCCAACCTGAGAGCATGCTCTACTCCCTTAAATAAATGGTGCAGCATTTGCATAGAAACTTTGCAGATCCTCTGGATGATCTGTGCTACCGCAACAGTGTCAATGTTAGGGAAATAGATGTTACAGTATCTTTTAGGGAATCATAACCAGAAACACAGTCTGTACATGTTCAGTTCAGATGCAATATGTTTCTTTGGCTATTTCAGACCTATAGTTGGTGAATCTGTAGATTTAGAACTCATGGAACGGGCGGAGGGTGGGGCGGCTGTAATGGCAACAACTACCTCATGGAATTACCTTGAGAAATAAGCGTGCAATATAAAAACTGGGCACACTTAATGAATACTTTATAAATGTCAGCTTTTCTGCAGGACAATGTTTTCTGGGGCAGGTCCTGATTTTTGAGTTGCTTTTCTGTTTTATGGGTTGCTACCCACCCACCCAGCACCTTCCTTCAGGTTGAGCACTTATTAGGTGCTGGAGGAACCCTTGGTTGATCAGGGCCACGCTTGTGGGGTGTCTCCTTCTCCCCCAAATGGAACTGTTACAGCTGTCACCTAGCAGAGTCTGCTCTTGAATAACAGTCCGCGGGAGAATCACATCAACACAGCCATTTGATAAGGGCGCAGGCGGACCCTGCTTGAATTTTTATGAGGGGCTGTACCTTAAATAATCACAGTGCCATCCCTGGGCATGGAATTTCAAGCCTCAAGGCCATGCCGGGTGGGAGGTTTGTTTGGCTGCCTTCCCCCCACCCCTTTTAGGCATGAGGCCACGGAGAAGCTGCCGCCATTCCCTGGGGCTGCTGAGACTCAGGGTGGAAAGGAAGAGGCTGCCGGGCTGTACCCCACCTTTGTGTTGAATGTCAAATTGCCGCTGCTGCCAGAAGCTTCGGAAAGGGGCGATGCCAGTTCCTGGGCCAACCAGGATGCAGGGGACCTGGGGGTTTCGGGGCAGGTGGAAGCTGGGTGCTCTGGGACAAGAAGAGAAAGTCAGAAGCTCTGCTGAGGTCAGATCCCGTCCAGGACAGCGGAGCCTGAGGTAGACAGGCGCCCGAGTCCCGCAGACACGTAGAGCCACTTAGTGCTCTTCACCTGGGACCAGGGAACTGGGCTGGGAACCCCTGGTACACCCACCCACGAGATCTTAAATCAGAGATCCCCGCACACCAGAGCTTAAAGAACCACCTGGAGGTGTTAAACCTGAAGATTTATGGGGAGGCAGCGAAGTGGGGCTCAGGACTCTATTTTTGAGCCGCTCCAGGAGATTTGGAAAATGGTTTATGTGGACTGAGTGGGAACATCCCACCCCCAACAGCTGAGAAGAAGGGTTGGCTGTGGCCAGCATTCAGGGAGAGAAGTGGCTGAGGGTTGAACCACTGTGCCTCACAGGTCGAAGCTCTAAAACTGAGTTGGGGAGGAAACTCTAATGGATGGGATGGTGGGATCTTCTCCATCTCTAAGAAACTGGGAACCGTCTGAAGGTGACCAGAAGAATTTGGATAGACTTTTCACCCGTCTGAGATGTCTGCACCTGACTGCCCAGCATGCAGAGCAGAATGCACACTTGATAAATATCTACAGCTTAGAGGGCACACTTAGCTCCACGTATTTCTCGGCCCCAAGATCTCGTTACCCAAACAACTTGGGGCGATGCGGGAGGGAAACTGGTGCTGATCCCGTCCATCCCAGCCCTCAACTTGTGATACCGACATGCAGATTTTGGGATGACTCTTCGTCTTTTGTCCTTGGCTACTTACCCCCGCACGAAACAGGGGACCACTTCGCCAGCCTGTATCCGGTTGAGCCAGGAGGAGCACACACCATGGTGAATTGGTCCTTCTCCATCTAGCGGGGGAAGCAGGATGATCT